TAACATGATTTTTGAATGACTACCTCATCGCTGTACCCCACACATACAATTGTCTATAAGGTCCCTCAGTCGAGCAGTGAATTTCAAACACAGATTCAACGACAAAGACCAGGGAGGTTTTCCAATGCATCGCAAAGAAGGGCACCTATTGGTAGATGGGTAAAAATATATATATATTAATTACACTTTGGATGGTGTATCAATACACCCTGTCACTACAAAGATACAGGCGTCCTTCCTAACTCTGTTGCCGGAGAGGAAGGAAACCGCTCAGGGATTTCAGTTTAATGGCTGTGATAGGAAAAAAATGAGGACGGATCAGCAACATTGTAGTTAATCCACAATACTAACCTAATTGACATTGTGAAAAGAAGAAAGCCTGTACAGAATAAAAAATATTCCAAAACATGCATTCTGTTTGCAACAAGGCACTAAAGTAATAATGCAAAAAATTTGGCAAAGCAATTCACTTTTTGTCCTGAATGTTATGTTTGGGGCAAATCCAATACAACACATTACTGAGGACCACTCTCCATATTTTCCAGCATAGTGGTGGCTGCATCATGTTATGGGTATACTTGTAATCAATAAGGACTGGGGAGTTTTTCAGTCTAAAAAATAAACAGAATGGAGCTAAGCATAGGCAAAATCCTAGAGGAAAACCTGGTTCAGTCTGCTTTCCACCAGACACTGGGAGATGAATTCACATTTCAGAAGGACAATAACCTTAAACACAAGGCCAAATCTACACTGGAGTTGCTTACCAAGAAGACAATTAATATTCCAGAGTGGCCGAGTTACAGTTTTGACTTAAATCTCCTTGAAAATCTATGGCAAGACTTGAAAATGGTTGTTTAGCAATGATCAATAACCAATTTGATAGAGCTTGAATAATTTTGGGTAAGCTCTTAGAGACTTACCCAGAAATACTTACAGCTGTAATCGCTGCCAAAGGTGATTCTAACATGTATTGACCTAGGTGTGTGAATACTTATGTAAATGAGATACACGACAGGACCTAAAGTATGTGGATACCTGCTCGTCGAACATCTCATTCCAATGTCATGGGCATTAATATGGAGTTGGTCCCCCCTTTGCTGCTATAACAGCCTCCACTCTTCTGGGAAGTCTTTCCACTAGATGTTGGAACATTGCTGCGGAGACCTGCTTCCATTCAGCCACAAGGGCATTAGTGAGGTCAGGTACTGATGTTGGGTGATTAGGCCTGGCTCGCAGTCAGCATTCTAATTCATCCCAAAGGTGTTTGATGGGGTTGAGGACAGGGCTCTGTGCAGGCCAGTCAAGTTCTTCCACACTGATCTCAACAAACCATTTCTGTATGGACCTCGCTTTGTGCACGGGGGCATTGTCATGTTGAAACTGTTTCGCCAAACTGTTGCCACAAGGTTGGAAGCACATAATCATCTAGAATGTCATTGTATGCTGTACCGTTAAGATGTCCCTTCACTGGAACTAAGGGGCCTAGCCCGAACCATGAAAAACAGCCCCAGACCATTATTCCTCCTCCTCCAAACTTTACAGTTGTCACTCTGCATTCGGGCAGGTAGCGCTCTCCTGGCATCCACCAAACCCAGATTAGTCCGTCGGACTACCAGATGGTGAAACGTGATTCATCACTCCAGAGAACGCGTTTCCACTGCTCCAGAGTCCAATGGCGGCAAGCTTTACACCACTCCATTCGACGCTTGGCATTGCGCATGGTGATCTTAGGCTTGTGTGTGGCTGCTCGGCCATGGAAACCCATTTCATGAAGCTCCCGACGAACAGTTCTTGTGCTGACATTGCCTCCAGAGGAAGTTTGGAACTCGGTAGTGAGTGTTGCAACCGAGGACAGACGATTTTAAGCGCTTCAGCACTTGGCGGTCCTGTTCTGTGAGCTTATGTGGCCTACCACTTAGCCGCTGAGCCGTTGCAGCTCTAGCAGGATAGAAATTTGACAAACTGACTTGTTGGAAAGGTGGCATCCTATGACGGTGCCACGTTGAAAGTCACTGAGCTCTTCAGTAAGGCCATTCTACTGCCAATGTCTATGGCGATTGCATGGCTGTGTGCTTGATTTTATACACCTGTCAGCAACGGGTGTGGCTGAAATAGTCAAATCCACTCATTTGAAGGGGTGTCCACATGCTTTTGTATATATAGTGTATTTCTGTATTTCATTTTCAATACATTTTCAGAAATGTCTATGAACATGTTTTCACTGTAATTATGGGGTATTATGTGCATATATTTAAACCATTTTGAATTCAGGCTGTAACACAACAACATGTGGAATAAGTCAAGGGGCACTGTATTTTTCCATCAAGCAAAATGAATTCAAGTCAATGTCAATTGATTTCTGATTGAGGGGGGTTGCACTAGGCCTATATTGCTTTGTGGTTCATCTAAAGTGACTCAGGCTGTCTTGACTGTTAGGCTAACGGGATATGGTTGAGGGGGACAGTCACTGTGTGATAGTGACTTATAAAGTTATTCTTGTGTGTTTTCTGACGGTTCTGTCTGGTCTATAGCGTCCAGTCTCCTAAATCCCTTTGACTCTTCTCAGTAGGCTATCAAAGAGTTAGGCTACATATAGGATAACACTGCATGACATCCGTTCCTAATAAGTTACGGTGTGTGTGTGTAATAGTGTATGTGTGACAGTGTGAGAGAGATTTGTTCGTCTCGATTCTATCTATCTATCTCTCTCTCAGACACACACACACACACATAATTACGCTTGCTCTCCTTGTTCACACTCCACAGGACGCGTCAGGAAGACGTCCTAGTGTGCTCGCCGGTTGTTTACTTATTAAACGCCTGCTGCTGCTGCTGGCTCCCCGCGTGCCCACGCAACGCAACCCTCTCTAGCTTTGTGGACTCCTTATTCGTTTTTCTTGTTTTTCCACAAGCAGTTTGATATGTCGCCCAACCCCATTTCTTGGTGAAGAGAATATGGCACAGAGAATATAGCACAGAAATGACCCAATTCTAAACCAAGCACCCCTCCACGATTTGGAAGACTTTCGCCTTTGCAAAATAACACTGTTGACCTTTGCCAATTAATTCAATCTACATCTTCTAATTTACTGTAGCCCTACAAGTAAGGTCTTCAACTTCAACTATAGGTGGGAAGACCATAGGTTTTTCAACCGTTGAGGTGCTTCGTTAAAATATCACTATTTGGATTTAAGTCAGACAGGCCAGTCGGAATATCTGGCATCCATCCCGTGCCCTCCGTTTTTAGAGGTCATATAGTGGATCAGAAGACATATAGCCTATAGGCAGATTAGCTAGGGTGAACCAGGACTAAGTACAATGTTGGACTCTCAAACCTTTTAATAAGAAAAGTAACATTTGATTGATGATTCCTCCATTATCTGGTCAACCATTGACAAAATAAATCAATGTATTCTCACACTGAGTGTTGTTGCTGTGAGACGGGTCCCGTTGAGGCATGGGGTAATGGACCGGATCACAATTCTGTAGACAAACAACATCTATATCAGCTGTCTAAGCGGCTTGCGCGCTGCTTAACTCTCCAATGCGGCACCACTCAGGTTGAGGCTGATTAACCCTCGCATGAAGAATGACACGACTATCTAAGAATAAGTTACCTGTAGTGTGGTTTTAAACGCCTACAATTTTGCCCTATTAAGACTGCAGCTTTTATGACCCGGATTTTGAAATGTGGTGACAAACTGGCAAAGAGAGAATGGAGATGAAGCCGAGGAGGGGTGGGGGGCTCTCGTGATCTCACTGAAGAGAGAAAAAAACGCCCGCTCGAGCGATACAAACTCAACTATCACAGCCAAGGACCACGCGGCACCGAAGACCGAGCAAGGCACGCGATATGTCTCGCAGATTCAGGTACGTCCCAAGTTCTTCCCCGAATTCATTTATGAGAGAAGAGATGTGAAGGCTAGAGCAGATGTCGGTTTTGATATGCTCGTGACACCGGCAGATAAAGTCTAAGGAGTGCGTATTGGCTTCTCCACCTTGTAATCATCCTTTTTCGATAATGGCATTTCATTTAATGTTTTGATTCAGGCCACGGAGGGTTGTGAGTGATGCATTCGGATGGTTGAGAGTGGAAAATATTGCATGCTGCGCATTGGATCGTATAGTGCATGATAGCCTATATGTTAGCCTATACCAAGAGGCAGTGTCTTGGAAATTCGATTTATGCTCAATTATAATTCCACACCACTCAGTGCAACGATCTCCAAAGCTCCATGTCATCAGACTGGGTATCAAGGATTTGTTCAGTAGTGTCTAATAAAAGGAATATACATTGCCATTGATTGGTTTAGGAACTCAGTGAGATACTTTCTCGACCGTGGAAATACCAGCACATAGCTCCAGTAGCCTACATAGGTTATCAGTAGCACCTACCTGTACGAAGGCGTTTCCTCAGTAATTGGCTGAGTTAGTGAGTGAGCTCTCCAGGGTGCTGAAATGTGCTTCTTGGCAGCTCGGGTTTCTCAATGGACCGTGGGAGCGATGCCATACGCTCTGGAGAGAGGGGGTGTGGGGGGATGGACATAATTGCCCCTTGTGGGATTAATAAGAGTATATATAATTGAATCGAATTCTCGTTTTCTGTTATGCAGTCCATAATGTTTGCAAAGGGGTAAGGTATTAGCCTTATTTCTAGAAGGAATGTTGTGTTGGCCTACAGGCTATGAACCTCGTCAATCCAAGAACATCCTCCACCATTATTTTCAAACCCATGTAATGTAGAGACTATATGATAACTTAAAGGTTGCATATCTGTTACTGCCTTCACAATCTTGCTTAATATTTTATGACAGTGTGTTTTGATCTCTCTCCAGGTGTGTTTGGATATGCTCAGAGCGCTGTGTTCCCAAATCATGGTCACTGGGTTAAACGTGGGTATATTGAGAGACAGCCAACATTCCTGCGCTACTGCCAGGAGCGGATAGTATGCCCGCACAGCTGGCACCACTCACACGATGTGGAATATGGCAGACGTAAAGATGGCTTTCCTCATGCTCCTGTGTCTCCCGACGCTATTCTTCGATGTACTAGTGCTGTCCCACAAAAGCAACATCTTTGAGCGGTCGGCTGTTCCGAGAGCCGCGCCCCGCTCTGTGGCCCGGATGGATGGAGACGTGATAATCGGGGCCCTCTTCTCCGTCCACCACCAGCCGTCCGCCGAGAAAGTGGCCGACCGAAAGTGCGGGGATGTCCGGGAGCAGTATGGCATCCAGCGGGTGGAGGCCATGTTCCACACCTTGGACCGGATCAACGGCGATCATTTCCTGCTCCCCAACATCAGCCTGGGCTGTGAGATCCGGGACTCCTGCTGGCACTCTTCCGTGGCTCTGGAGCAGAGCATCGAGTTCATCCGGGATTCCCTCATCTCCATTCGGGACGACAAGGACGGCTCCAAGTGGTGCATCGATGGGACGCCATCTAACCAGCCCCCGCCCTCCAAGAAGCCCATCGCCGGGGTGATCGGGCCGGGCTCAAGCTCCGTTGCTATCCAGGTGCAGAACCTGCTGCAGCTCTTCAACATCCCCCAGATCGCCTATTCTGCGACCAGTATCGACCTGAGTGACAAGACACTCTTTAAGTACTTCCTGCGGGTCGTGCCCTCTGACACGCTCCAGGCCCGGGCCATGCTGGACATAGTCAAGCGCTACAACTGGACCTATGTGTCTGCGGTGCACACGGAGGGTGAGTCACTCAACTCACTCAACACATGGGTTCAACTTCAAGGATAGGATTAGACCAAGTAGGCATAGTAGGACTAGCACGGATTTGGAGAGGTTTTGCACATGCTGTCAAGTTGATTTTGTCTTGTCTCTGTTCGGGTTTGAGGTTGAGAAATCTGGGATTATGATAAATAGGTCTAGCTATTGATATGGTTGTGGATTATGAGGGCGGTTTGTAAACAGTTAAGTACTTGCACCTAACTTTGTGTCCTCCCTGTGTGTGCTCCTGTGTGCATTGCATTGGAGGGAAACCGTAAAATGGAATTCACTCTCTCCAGACAAAACTATACATCCTGTGCAGTATAACTATCCATACACACACCCCAGGCAAAGTATGGGGTTGTGACCTATATTGGATGTACGTCACAACTATCTGTTCTTCTGCCTTTTATCACATCCACACTCCAGCAACGCGTCCAATCTCTCAAGCCACAATTCAGTCTTATTGTTGTCAATGTTCTCTGACTGGAAATGCATTTTGGTGTTTATTTGTATCTATTCATATTAGAGGAAATTAGATTGGACGCTAGATAGGAAAGAAAATTAGTCAGCACTGCTCTCTCTCTCTCTCTCCCTCTCTCTCTCTCTCTCTCTGTCTCCCAGGATGTTTAATTTGATGCTAATTCTATTCTATTAGAAAATAACAGGCGGGCTCCATCATCTTCATTATTTGCATTTCTAAGCATGTCTTACTAAATCAATCAGCCTATCAATATTTAACAGGGGCACTAATGGACTGTTTCCCCTCTGCCTTTGCTGTTCTTGTGCTGTGTAGCATACTATCAGGCTGGGGTTACAGGTGGTGGAACCATATAATTCAATTGTAATTTAATGTATCTCTATGCGAGGAATCATAGAAATAGAATCCGTCTGGTCCACTCATTTACATAACACTTGAAAAAAATGTCTGCTCTAGTAATTCTAATTATATGGGTATAATTAATACCTCCAAACGTCTCCTCCTGTTATGGATATCGATATAAATAAACTCCCAAGTGTGTTATTTCTATTCAGATGTAGAGGATTTACTGTGTTGAGTGTGTTTCCATCCTATTTAACCCATGGTTGTGAGGGATGTCTAAGCACAGCTTGCAAAGGGGTTCTGGCAATGCCCCTCAATGCTGGAAATATCAGCACATTGCTACAGCAGCCCACATTAGCTTCTCAGCAGCACCTGTCTGAATGCGTTATCGGCAGAGTTTGTCAGTGCACTGTCCATGGTGCTGAAATGGTTAATATACCAGTAGCGCTCCACAATGCAGACACACACTGCTTAAGCTTGAATCGCATAAAACTCTTCCATCAGTTTAACCACTACTGTAATTGGGAGAGGATATAATTAGATATGGAGATAGCTAAACTGTAGTTACAAGTAAATCTCTGCCATTAGCCATTAGCCGAGGCTCCTCAGCCTAAACCTTAGTGAAATGTAACCAGTGGTGTGAGCAGGTAATGATTGACACAGCATCTCTGCTCTGTAGTGGCCACTGATGAATTCTGGGGGTTGTTAGAGGGATATGTGATAGACAGGCCCTAAAGGGAGGATGGAACTTTGGAACACCTTGTAAAGGCGGAGCCTAGAAACCAGTAGGGGAGTCACAAAAGTTCAGCGGTCACGGTCAGGTTGAGGGGCATGCAGGCAGGGCCAGGAGAGAGTGGAGGTGAAGTGCCATGAGGCACAGCTAGGGGGTGCCAGGGATCTGATCTTCACCATACCTGCTAGGTAGAATATTGAGTGTATAGGGTAAGGTAAAGCGTATTTTGTGCACTTTGAGGAATGGTTACTGATGTGAAAATTGTGGTGGCTGTGAGATAAAACATATAGTGAATGTGTTAATTGATATGAAAAATGTGACTAAAGTGTCTCTTGTTAGACTGAAATATTTTAATTGAAATCCTATGAATCGAAGGGGTTTAGAATTGATCAACCATAAAATGAATTCACCTGTTCAGATAACTGTCTCTCCCGATAGCTTTAAACAGTGGTCACAACTACAGACAGCACCTCCCCATGCAGCCATCTCTCTCCACCACCTAAGACAAGTAAACATGCAGCATGTTGCCCATAGCAACAGCTAAGGATATGCGATTGCATAAATTACCTGGATTACCTTCATTAACATCAATTGTTTCAGTGAACGGGCGTCAATATACCTCCGCCTGCTTTCATCCATCCCTCCCTCCAAACTTAATCGAAAGAGAAAAATAATTGGATATCATGATTCCCATTTTCCATCAGGAAAACAAAACGAGAGAATTCAAAATATCATCAGAGGCTATATTGGAACACTAACAATTGTGGCCCAATCTAATAGCATCCCAGGGTAATGCATTAGTGTGCTGCCAATTCAGACCTTTTTTCTCATGTCAAACACAACCAGACTGTCAGAAGAGCACAAGGTGCTCTGGAAGATGCCTCAATTTGTCAGAATGAGACAGGTGTGTTTAAGGGCCATGATTGTGTAAACAAAGGTACTGCATTAACATTGCAGACAACATCTTTGATTGAAGCCAGCACTTTGAATATAACCAATAAAACAGAGTCCTCTGTGCATGACTAGGACTGTTTCCAAAATGGCACCCTATCCTCTATAGTGCACTACTTTTGGCTCTGGTCACTACATAGGGAATAGGATGCAATTTCAGATGCACCCTATGTATGTAAAATAAGACAGCTTTGCAGTGCTTGATTAGGATGTCATCATATGACTAGAATGGCGCCGGAGGAGATGGCTAACTAATTGTGCTATTGTGTGTGTTTTTTTGCGTAATTTGTAACTTATTTTGTACATAATGTTTCTGCCACCGTCTCTTATGACCAAAAAGAGCTTCTGGATATCAGGACAGCGATTACTCACCTCGTACTGGGCTAAGATTTTTTCTTTAACGAGTCAGACGCAAAGGATTTTCTTCAGACACCCGACAAGGCCCCGTCATTCGCATGAGAAAGAGAAGGATATATCGGGGACGTAGGTCGGGGTGCCTTGTAAGGATCCGACGGCGAGTGGGTAATCTGCCTCTACCATCAGTCCTATTAGCCAACGTACAATCATTGGAAACCAAAATAGATGACCTATGATCACAGATATCCTACCAATGGGATATTAAAAACTGTAATATCTTCTCTTTCACCGAGTCGTGGCTGAACGATGACATGGATAACATACAGCTGGCGGGATATATGCTGCATCGGCAAAATAGAACAGCTGCCTCCGGTAAGACAAGGGGTGGTGGTCTGTGTATATTTGTAAACAACAGACGGTGCACGAAATCTAATATTAAGGAAGTCTCAAGGTTTTGCTCGCTTGAGGTAGAGTATCTCATAATAAGCTGTAGACCACACTATTTACCAAGAGAGTTTTCATCTATATTTGTCGTAGCTGTCTATTTACCACCACAAACCGATGCTGGCACTAAGACCACACTCAAGAGCTGTATAAGGCCATAAGCAAACAGGAAACGCTCATCCAGCGGCAGCGCTCATAGTGGCCGGCGACTTTAATGCAGGGAAACTTAAATCTGTTCTACCTCATTTCTACCAGCATGTTCAATGTGCAACCAGAGGGAAAAAAACTCAAGACCACCTTTACTCGACACACAGACGCTTACAAAGCTCTCCCTCGCCCTCCATTTGGCAAATCTGATCATAATCCTATCCTCCTGATTCCTGCTTACAAGCAAACACTAAAGCAGGAAGCACCAGTGACTCGGTCAATAAAGAACTGGTCAGATGACGCAGATGCTAAGCTACAGGACTGTTTTGCTAGCACAGACTGGAATATGTTCCGGGATTCTTCCGATGGCATTGAGGAGTACACCACATCAGTCTCTGGCTTCATCAATAAGTGCATCGATTACGTTGTCCCCACAGTGACCGTACGTACCCCAACCAGAAGCCATGGATTACAGGCAACATCCGCACTGAGCTAAAGGGTAGAGCTGCCGCTTTCAAGGAGTGGGACTCTAACCTGGACGCTTATAAGAAATCCCGCTATGCCCTCCGTCGAACCATCAAACAGGCAAAGCGTCAATACAGGACTAAGATTGAATCGTACTATACCAGCTCCGATGCTCGTCAGATATGGCAGGGCTTGCAAACTATTACAGACTACAAAGGGAAGCACAGCCGCGAGCTGCCCAGTGACACAAGCCTACCACACAAGCTAAATTACTTCTATGCTCGCTTCGAGGCAAGCAACACTGAAGTATGCTTGAGAGCCTCAGCTGTTCCGGACGACTGTGTGATCACGCTCTCCATTAGCCGATGTGAGTAAGACCTTTAAACAGGTCAACATTCACAAGGCCGCAGGGCCAGATGGATTACCAGGACGTGTACTCCGAGCATGTGCTGACCAAATGGCAAGTGTCTTCACTGACATTTTCAACCTGTCTCTGACTGAGTCTGTAATAGCAACTTGTTTCAAGCACACCACTATAGTCCCTGTGCCCAAGAACACTAAGGTAACCTGCCTAAATGACTACAGACCCGTAGCACTCACGTCTGTAGCCATGAAGTGCTTTGGCTCATGGCTCACATCAACAAAATTATCCCAGAAACCCTAGATTTGTATACCGCCCCAACAAATCCACAGATGATGCAATATCTATTGCACTCCACACTGCCCTTTCCCACCTGGACAAAAGGAACACCTACGTGAGAATGCTATTCATTGACTACAGCTCAGCGTTCAACACTATAGTGCCCTCAAAGCTCATCACTAAGCTAATTACCCTGTGACTAAACACCTCCCTCTGCAACTGGATCCTGGACTTCCTGACGGGCCGCCCCCAGGTGGGAAGGGTAGGAAACAACACATCCGCCACGCTGATCCTCAACACGGGGGCCCCTCATGGGTGCGTGCTCAGTCCCCTCCTGTACTCCCTGTTCACCCATGACTGCATGGCCAGGCACGACTCCAACACCACCTCCTGTACTCCCTGTTCACCCATGACTGCATGGCCAGGCACGACTCCAACACCATCATTATGTTTGCCGACAACACAACAGTGGTAGGCCTGATCACCAACAACGATGAGACAGCCTATAGGGAGGAGGTCAGAGACCTGGCCGTGTGGTGCCAGGATAACAACCTCTCCCTCAACGTGACCAAGACAAAGGAGATGATTGTGGACTACAGGAAAAAAAAGAGGACTGAGCACGCCCCCATTCTCATCGACGGGGCTGTAGTGGAACAGGTTGACAGCTTCAAGTTCCTTGGTGTCCACATCACCAATGAACTATCATGGTCCAAACACACCAAGACAGCCGTGAAGAGGGCAAGACAAAGCCTATTCCCCCTCAGTAGACTGAAAAGATTTGGCATGGGTCCTCAGATCCTCAAACAATTCAACAGCTGCACCGTCGAGAGCATCCTGACTGGTTGCATCACCGCCTGGTGTGGCAACTGCTCGGCCTCCGACCACAAGGCACTACAGAGGGTAGTGCGTACGGCCCAGTACATCACTGGGGCCAAGCTTCCTGCCATCCAGGACCTCCATACCAGGCGGTGTCAGAGGAAGGCCCTCAAAATTGTCAAAGACTCCAGCCACCCTAGTCATAGACTGTTCTCTCTGCTACCGCACAGCAAGCGGTACCGGAGTGCCAAGTCTAGGTCCAAAAGACTTCTCAACAGCTGCTACCCCCAAGCCATAAGACTCCTGAACAGCTAATCATGGCTACCCAGACTATTTGCACTGCCCCCCCACCCCCAACCCCCACCCCATCTTTTTACGCAGCTGCTACTCTGTTAATTATTTATGCATAGTCACTTTAACTCTACCCACATGTACATATTACTTCAACTACCTCAACTAGCAGGTGCCCCCGCACATTGACTATGCACCGGTACCCCCCTGTGTATATAGCCTCCCTACTGTTATTTTATTTTACTTCTGCTCTTTTTTTCTCAACACTTTTTTGTTGTTGTTTTATTTTACTTTTTTATTAACAAATAAATGCACTGTTGGTTAAGGGCTGTAATTAAGCATTTCACTGTAATGTCTGCACCTGTTGTATTCGGCGCATGTGGCCAATAACGTTTGATTTTATTTGATTAGCCACTAGACTCCCTATTTACAGTGGCTTGCGAAAGTATTCACCCACCTTGGCATTTGTCCTATTTTGCTGCCTTTTGGGGGGTTTGTATCATTTGATTTACACAACATGCCTACCACTTTGAAGATGCAAAATATTTTGGGGGGTAAAACAAACAAGAAATAAGACAGAAAAACGGAAAAATTGAGCATGCATAACTACTAGCCACCTTTTGCAGCATTTGCAGCTGCAAGTCTCTTGGGGTATGTCTCTATAAGCTTGGCACATCTAGCCACTGGGATTTTTGCCCATTCTTCCAGGAAAAACTGCTCCATCTCCTTCAAGTTGGATGGGTTCCGCTGGTGTACAGCAATCTTTAAGTCATACCACAGATTCTCAATTGGATTGAGGTCTGGGCTTTGACTAGGCCATTCCAAGACATATAAATGTTTCCCCTTAAACCACTTGAGTGTTGCTTTAGCAGTATGCTTTGGGTCATTGTCCTGCTGGAAGGTGAACCTCCGTCCCAGTCTCAAATCTCTGGAAGACAAACAGGTTTCCCTCAAGAATTTCCCTGTATTTAGCGCCATCCAACATTCCTTCAATTCTGACCAGTTTCTCAGTCCCTGCCGATGAAAAACATCCCCACAACATGATGCTGCCACCACCATGCTTCACTGTGGGGATGGTGTTCTTGGGGTGATGAGAGGTGTTGGGTTTGCGCCAGACATAGCGTTTTCCTTGATGACCAAAAAGCTCAATTTTAGTCTCATCTGACCAGAGTACCTTCTTCCATATGTGTGGGGAGTCTCCCACATGCCTTTTGGCGAACACCAAACATGTTTGCTTATTTTTTTCTTTAAGCGATGGCTTTTTTCTGGCCACTCTTCCGTAAAGCCCAGCTCTGTGGAGTGTACGGCTTAAAGTGGTCCTATGGACAGATACTTCAATCTCCGCTGTGGAGCTTTGCAGCTCCTTCAGGGTTATCTTTGGTCTCTTTGTTGCCTCTCTGGTTAATGCCCTCCTTGCCTGGTCCGTGAATTTTGGTGGGCGGCCCTTTCTTGGCAGGTTTGTTGTGGTGCCATATTCTTTCCATTTTCTAATAATGGATTTAATTGTGCTCCGTGGGATGTTCAAAGTGTTGGATATTTTTTTATAACCCAACCCTGATCTGTACTTCTCCACAACTTTGTCCCTGACCTGTTTGGAGAGCTCCTTGGTCTTCATGGGGCCGCTTGCTTTGTGGTGCCCCTTGCTTAGTGGTGTTACAGACTCTGGGGCCTTTCAGAACAGGTGTATATATACTGAGATCATGTGACAGATCATGTGAAACTTAGATTGCACATAGGTGGACTTTATTTAACTAATTATGTGACTTCTGAAGGTAATTGGTTGCACCAGATCTTATTTAGGGGCTTTATAGCTATGGGGGTGAATACATATACACGCACCACTTTTCCATTATTTATTTTCTAGATTTCTTTTTTGCATGTTTTTTTTTTTTTTTCACTTCACCAATTTAGACTATTTTGTGTATGTCCATTACATGAAATCCAAATAAAAATCCATTTAAATTACAGGTTGTAATGAAAGAAAATAGGAAAAACGACAAGGGGGATGAATACTTTTGCAAGGCACTGTATCTGGTTATATCAGAGGATAGATAAGGACTGCAGCCCAGTCACAGTCATTCACAGCCTGACGTGTCACAGTCATCAGACTACGACAGTGGTTTTGGCCTAAACTCACCAAATACGAGCGTGTGAGGCGTGTGTGTGATTTATTTTAGAATGCATTGTTTTGAATTATAATGACCCAACCGAAGCCGGACGGGCAGGTTGTACTCATTGACGCCTCGCGTTTTATTGCTGGCACTGTAGTCACACAAAATAAATAGAAAATTGTCATTAACTTTTTTTTAGCATATTTTAATTGGAAGAGCTAAGGGTTGAAGCTTTACCATACATGCTAAATAAGACCAAATCATCCACTTATGGATACACAACATCGCTATCAGCAAAGATGATTGGAGATATGGACTATCCTGCTAACATACAGTCACTGCTCTCTCTGCCTGTCCCATGCTTTCCACCCACCTCGCTCTGCTTGCTCCGCCCGTCCGTTTCTGGTTAGTTTTTCGCTTTAGTGTGGCAGAATCCAGTCACTGTCAGCCTGGAGGGCCTTGAGGAAGTATATAGAGAAATACTGAAATCAGTGCACACTGTAATAGACAGTTAGCTACAACTCAGTGAAATAGATTGAGAGGCTTGGTTGAAATGAAAAGTAATGGTCATAGACTACATTCTTCTCATGATGATTCTGTGCTACGATTGTTATCCATTCCTTGATGGGAACTTGTTATGTAGGTTGTGTTTTTCTATAACGACAAAACTTCCATTGTGGGTCAATGATGAGGATTTATTTCCTTTTCCTGCTCCAAAATGGTGACTCCTCGTCGGTCATTTTGTGTGTCCAGTGGTGATTAACCCCTCTGTTTATCACTCCACCCTAGGAAACTATGGGGAGAGTGGCATGGAGGCCTTCAAGGAGCTGGCCTCCCAGGAGGGTCTGTGCATCGCCCACTCGGACAAAATCTACAGCAACGCCGGGGAGAAGCACTTTGACCGTCTGCTTAAGAAACTCCGTGAACGTCTGCCCAAGGCCCGCGTGGTGGTGTGTTTCTGCGAGGGCATGACTGTGCGCAGCCTCCTCATGGCCATGAGACGTCTGGGTGTGGCTGGAGGAGAGTTCCTCCTCATTGGCAGGTAAGGCACATGGCTGTAAGGTACTTCTTTTTGGGTAATGTGGTTTTTGTCTTGTATTCAACGGTGGGTGCAGGGTGGTTTTGTGCTGCCTGCTTCCCGAAAACACGTCACCAAGGCAACTAAGTGGAATTGGAGCAGATAGAACTATTGCCAGTGAGAAATGGTCACCGGTAATGAATTATTTGTATCTCTGTAGATTTTGGAGACCTTGACAATTGACAAGGGCACATTTAAGTGATAATGACAGAGAAGCCAGTGTTTGGAGGATATACTATACAATACAATACAATACAACTTTATTGGTACGGGTGGTCGAGGGCCGGCAAACCATGCCAATATATCCTCCACACACCGGCTTTGAGGGCAATATTAGTTTTATACAACGGGTTACCAACATATTCAAATGATGATTTAAATATTTTCATTAAAAACAGTCTGTTTTATGAATTTATTGATACTATTTCATCCTTCCACGAGATATAGTCCCGACACAAATCTAGGGTTGCTACCCAAGCTGGTTGGTCGTTCGTTCTATTGGTTCGGTTGCCAGAGACGTGACCCAGTCTTTTTGTTCTAAATCTATGGACGCGACCCAGTCGTTGTTCCATTGCCATGATAGCACACCCTTTGACTTTTTCCACATTTCATTGTGTTACACCCTGAATTTAAAATGGAATACATTTAGATGTTTTTTTTTGTCATTGGCCCACACACATACCCCATAATGTCAAAGTGGAATTATGTTTTTCATTTTTATTTTTTTATTTTATTAATTAAAAATGAAAAGCTGAAATGTCTTGATTCAATAAGTATTCAACCCCTTTGTTATGGCAAGCCTAAATAAATTCAGGAGTCAAGATTTGCTTAACAAGTCACATAGATGCACATAAGATGCATGGACTCACTGTATGTGCAATAATAGTGTTTAACATTATTTTTGAATGACTACCTAATGTCTGTACCCCACACATACAATTATCTGTAAGGTAAGGTCCCTCAGTTGAGCAGTGAATTTCAAACACAGATTCAACCAGGGAGGTTTTCCAATGCCCCACAAAGAAGGGCACCTATTGGTAGATGGGTAAAAAATTAAATAAAAGCAGACATTGAATATCCCTTTGAGCATGGTGAAGTTATTAATTACACTTTGGATGGTGTATGAATACACCCACTCACTACAAAGATACAGGTGTCCTTCCTAACTCAGTTGCCGGAGAGGAAGGAAACCGTTCAGGGATTTCACCATGAGACCAATTGTGACTTTAAAACAGTTACAGAGTTGAATGGCTGTGATAGGAAAAAACTGAGGATGGATCACAATACTAACCTAATTGACAGAGGAAACACTGGTTCAGTCTGATTTCCACTGGGAGATGAATTCACCTTTCAGCAGGACAATAACCTAAAACACAAGGCCAAATATACACTGGAGTTGCTTACCAAGTGAATTATCAATTGAATGTTCCTGAGTGGCCGAGTTACAGTTTTTACTTAAATGTACTTGCAAATATATGGCAAGACCTGAAAATGGTTGTCTAGCAATGATCAAAAACCAATTTGACAGAGCTTGAAGAATTGTGAAAAAAATTATAGGCAAATGTTGCACAATCCACGTGTAGAAAGCTCTAAGAGACGTACCCAGAAAGACTCATAGCTGTAATCGGTGCCAAAGATGCTTCTACAAAGTATTGACTCAGGGGTGTGAATACTTAAATGTAAATGAGATATTTCTGTATTTCAATTTCAATAAATTTGCAAACATTTCTAAAAACATGTTTTTACTTTGTCATTATGTGGTATTGTGTGTAAATGGGTGAGAAAAAAATCTATTTAATCAATTTTAAATTCAGGCTGTAACAAAACAAAATGTGGAATAAGTCAAGGGGTATGAATACTTTCTGAAGGCACTGTATCCCTTGCTTGCTAGCTAGACAACTTCAGCTAACACAGTCATGTCAAACAGTGCAGCCAGAATAATAGCAAAGTAGCTGCGATTGCGTTTGTTTAAGCTGTTTTCTAGTGATTTTTTTTGGGATACATCCATAACAATGAGCTAATGATGAACGATTTCGCCTGGCATAGAACATTTGCTCTCTCGCCAGGCCATTGTTCAGAAGAGATAGCCAACTACACAGCTAACATAATCATTTCAAAATGAAGCTGGAATGACAGCAAACTAGCTGCATTTCGTGTTTTTCTATTGACATTTCTTTGTATATATCCTTAGAAATTATGCTTTTTACAGTGTTGATCTAGTATATAAATTGCCTGGCTGGGCTGATGAGACAGTGGATTGCGCAGTCAGATGGAACAAAGTAAATATGCATTTCAACGTCATAGATTTAGCCGGTGGTAACTTGTGGAATAATATTGTATAATTTAGGATAATCACCTATATCCACTACATAAAACAATCCATAGAATAAGGAACTACCAGTATCACATACCATATGCCAAAAGAAAGACTTGATTTGTTTGATTATTGTTCATTGTTTATCTTTCTTTATCTTTACAAATGCATCAACAAAGCTTCCAGTTGCTCTTTGAAGTCGAGCCAGTCCCTCCCCCTCTCAATTCAATTCAATTCAAGGGGAGTTATTGGCATGGGAAACTTATGTTTACATTGCCAAAGCAAGTGAAATAGATAATAAACAAAAGTGAAATAAACAATAACAAATTAACAGTAAACATTACACTCACAAAAGTTCCAAAAGAATAAAGACATTTCAAATGTCATATTATGTCTACATACAGTGTTTAAACAATGTGCAAATAGTTAAAGTAAAAAAGGGAAAATAAATAAACATAAATATGGGTTGTATTTACAATGGTGTTTGTTCTTCACTGGTGCCCAATAGACATGGGAGTTGATCAAAATGTGATTTGTTTTCGAATTCTTTGTGGGTCTGTGTAATCTGAGGTAAATATGTGTCTCTAATATGGTCATACCTTTGGCAGGAGGTTAGGAAGTGCAGCTCAGTTTCCACCTCATTTTGTGGGCAGTGTGCAAATAGCCTGTCTTCTCTTGAGAGACAGATTTGCCTACGACGATCTTTCTCAATAGCAAGGCTATGCTCACTGAGTCTGTACATAGTCAAAGCCTCTCTCTCTCTCCTCCCCCACCCCCCTGTCTATCCTCTGATGGGCTCTTCCTTATGGCAGAGGGCACAGCCATGGTTGTCTGAGAGGCACTCCAGTGTCAACGCTGGTTGACACTGAGTGACTCCAGCTGTAATCTCTTTCATTAGAAGAGGAATAGGGGAGAAGGGCAGAGCAGCATTCACAGTGTGACAACCATCATTCGATGGGTGTGACAATCCTCTGTTGTCATCAAAATATATGCCTAAAACTTGACCTCCACTGCCACGCCACCTTTTTTTTATTGCAAGATCCTGTCTATTTCTTAAAGATGTTTGGGGGTGAAGGTTGTTGTATGGCATTTGTCCTTCTGACTGTCAGGCTTATGTCTGAGGAGGAGGACATTGATGAGACAGGCAGAATGATAGAGAGGGAGTAGACTCAGAGCCAGGGTAAGCACCATTCTCAGTGGATTTGCCGAACTCTTCTCAAATGCTTCTCAAACACTGCTCCATCATCATGGTCATCTTCTTGGAGAGCCCTTCTGTTCTTCCTCTTATCTAGATGGAGGCTGTTATGTCTAAACAGCAGGGATGGAGGGAAAGCACTTGCTGTTCCATGGTTGCCGTGGTGCCTAGTGTGTTTTTTATCTGCATTGTTTTTATCTGCCCTCTTGGTTTCACATAAGAATAAGGAGACTGTTGAAAAGGCCTTAAGCAGCGAACTGACTAAAGTCAGTAAGTGATTATCCGACAATAAACTGTCTCTGCATTTAGACAAGACAGAATTTATCCTGTTTGGTTCCTAACACAAAGTGAGAAACTCTTCCAACTTCTCGGTCAAGCGTAATGGTGTAGCGGTGAAGGAGAAATGCTCTGTTACATACTGTACTTGGGACATGAACTGGACCAATACATGACAGGTGTACTCATGGCTCTGAAGGTCATTGGGAAGGTTCACTCCAGGATAAAGTTCCTCGCAAGGGTAGCCACGTTCATGGATACGGAGACTATGAGGACCCTGGCAACATCTCTGATACAGTGCCACTGTGACTATGCTTGTATCTCAAGGTTCAGTGGTATAACAAAAAATCTAAAGGACAAACTTCAAATGGCCCAAAACAAACTGCTGAAAATTATACTCAAGCTCAGCCCTAGGACGCAAATTGGTCCTAATCATTTCAGGGAAATGAACTGGCTTTCAGTAGATCTCTGTGTGGTGCAGATCAAACTGTTGATGATTTTTAAAGGTCCCGAACAGTGAAAATAATGTTTTTCATCCAATTGGATGATATTAGGATGAAACCCGTTCAAAGTAGGGTGATCCAATTATGAAAAAGGACTGTAGCTGGTACATTGATAAAGTTTGATCATAAAGTTACTGGTCCCCTCCCCCGTGTCAAATACATGGATTCAGGAGGCAGGCATTACCAAGGATTTACTTCCGGCTTTATGCAACGTCACATAAAGCCGGAAATGTAATACACCAATGGTAGCATCTTACCATCTTAACTGTAAGTCGCTCTGGATAAGAGCGTCTGCTAAAAAACTAATTATTATTATATTATTATTATTATTATTAACTAATTTAAATATGTGTCGGCTTAAAGCCATCATCATACGTGCGCCTACATCTTGCTTTGGCTTTGTTTACAAACCTGGAAGCTAGCTACTAGCTAGCTACTAGTAGCTAGCTCAAGCAGAACGTACGACCAAAGGTACTGATAACCTTTAATCAGTGGTGTGGCTGTTAGCTAGCAAGCTACTTACCAGCATGCCAGCAAAAGCACACTGTGTTGTGACTGGATGCCATAGTGTAAAATTAACCTTACACTATTTTCCGAAGGATGAAGACATCTGACATCTTTTCATTTCGGGTGGACAGGCTGCACCAATAATTATGATCATGTCACGCATGTGCAGTGCA